ACACACGGCTTGTGAAAACCAGCCGGTGGCAGCAGTGGTCCTCGGCACCCCCTCGGCCCCCACACATCCCAGCAGCCATCGACGGAGGTGCCACAGCCCCAGTGCCTGGAGGAGGCGAAGGAAGGAAGCAATCAGAGCAGATGCTTTTCCGGCGTGGAGCCTGGGTTTGTCAAGAACAAGGAAGAGCTTCAGAGACGTGGCCGAACGCAGCAGCTGACCAAAGTCAGCCCAGGCAGCGTGCCACAGTGGGGTCCCCTGGCACATCCCACAGCAGCGGGAGATACGCTCCAGCAGGCTGGGGCAGGGCTTGGCTGAGGGGTGTTCACAGCCTGAAGCATCCTGATTGCAACTGTAAAAAACTTGAGGATGCACATTCTCTAAGGAGACTTGACTCTCAGACAGCTCAAGATAGGCACTTCTTCACGCACCACCAGCTTCAGATACACCGTCAGCAGCAAAGTATTTCAGTTCTTTTGATTTGGTCCCTGGCTACCATCTAGTTAAATTAGCACCTGGAGCTGAAGAAAGGAGTGCCCTGGTGACATCCTGTGAGTGATTTCATCTCAGCAGAATGCTTCTCTGGGCCAGGAATGCAGGGGGACCTTAGTCAAGGCAAGGAAGCTATCTTTGCCAGGAAAGGCTGCTGTGCCAGTAGATGACATAGAAACGGATAGAGGCATTATTATTGGGTGACTGCAGGAAAAACCTGTGGGTGGAGAGGAAGCTCTTTTCATGGTTTTCATAGATAACACAATTTTTTTTTTTCAGGTTGGTCTGTAGAAATGTCCTTTTTCAACCGTTGAAAAAGTAAATTGATTGTCCTCAAGGTATTTTTAAATCTCGTCTGATCTTTGTAGGATGGCTTGTAGAGTAGCATGCAGTGTGGTTGCACTGAAATAGATAATGGTACCAGCACACTGTGGAACATAGTTTCCTCTGCTTACTTATCACAAGTTTTCATCCAGTATGACAAAGGCCACCTCTCAAGACCAGGTGGAAGGCATTCTGCATCTCATGTAGAAAGGTGACAACTGAGCACTTGCTTGGAGGACAGATGCCTTTTGGTGATGATATACTTTTCATCACACACACTGAAGATTAATTTCAGGTTCTCTGCATTATTTTTCTGTTAGTTTATGATTGCTTTGGAATAAATACCAATCTAAAAAGGGCAACAATCAAGACTGAGAATGTGTTGCCTGCCCTTGGAGGTTCAAGAGTAAATTTGCCTCTTTGGATCAGTGTTGTTGGATGACTGCTTTCTGTTTTGGGAAGGCAGCTACCGTATTCTGCTAACTGATCATCTATGGTAAAACCAGGAGCTAGCACTGAAAACTAAAATATGCATTGACCCGGCATACATTTGACTGTACTGTTGTGGAGTTGCAAGACTTGGGTAGTCTACAGTAGACACGGTGGAGTGGTGAATGTCCATACCATTGATATCTCAAGCTGGGAAGATGTTGTCAGCAATAGCCCAGACTTGAAGAGTCTGTTAGATGAAGAAGCCTAGAGGCTGAAGAAAGGTACTGAGAGAAAAGCAAGTTAAAACAGGTAAAGAAGAGTAGCCATCTTCTGGTCTCATGGACTCTTGTCTCGTTAAGGAGTGCTTAATGTCATTTTGAGTCATTTTGGAGCTCCACAGACACTTGTGATGTGACAGGATGTATTAAACAGCTAAACTAGTGGAGTAATTTACAGCAGTGCTTCTTGAGATGGATGCATGCCACACATACCTACATCTGAATATAAGCCTGACTTTAAAGAGGGCACAAATCTGCCAGGAATGCGGCCAGCCTGCATCCCCAGAGAGGTCATGACAGAAATTTCTGTTTTCAAATACTTACTTGCCCAAGTGGGAGAAAGTCAGAACCATTCACAGGACAGAGGAATCCTTTACTTCCACCAACATAGTAACTTGGTGCCAAGTATCATACTATGTTATTCATTTTCGTGGGAAGTGGCGGAAAATTGGAAGACAAGACTATGAGGTCTGCTCTAGATTTGATGGAGCTGTTTGGGAAATCCCAGTAAAACTTTGTTTCCCTGGGAGTACAGAGCAACTAGCAGTGTACATCCTGCTCGTGCACTGGCATCGCAGCATGCTATATTGCAGGCAGCTGTTCTATAGACACGTGTACATGAAACACACAAGAGCACGCTCTGGGAAGCATGGAACTGAAGACAAGCCAACAGATTGACAATCAGTGAAACAGTCACAGAGTGACTACATCAGTCTTGATTTTATCAAAAGCAAAGCTACAATGTGACAGCACTAAATAGTTGTTGTAGTAAGTCCTTGTTAGCCCCAGGGCAGGACGCTGGTTGGGGTCTTCCACCACTCAAGGCTGTGATGGAAACTGCTCCGTATACGGAACATCATGACATAGCAGCAGCCTTTTTTTTTTTTTCTTTTTTTTTTTTTTTCTTGTGTTAAAGAGATCGTAACAGGTTTTAAGTAAACAGAGTAACAGAATTTCTATCCTTTACTTTATGCATGCATGGAAGCTATTTCTTTGCATGTGTAACTAGACCCTAGTACACTATGTTACGGTTGTCACAGTTGCTATTTAAATACATTTCTTTTGTTTAATATGTCCTGGAATTAATTAAAATACCAAATCCTCCTGAGACCCATAGAACTAGTGAGGCCTGATCACTGAGTGATTTCTGCTCTCCCTGTTGTCCTCCCTACCCCCACCAGCAGGTGCCAGGGCTGCCAGGATGGCTAATGCCTGGCTACTGCCTCTTCCTTGGGTAACTGGCTGGTGGCATCTGCCTCTCCCCCAGTGCAAGCATGGGTCCTGATTTCTGTAGATTCTGTGAAGCCAGTGATTTGTGCTGTGAAACTTCAGTAAGTCTTTTTGTGAAACCTGTGTCTCTGAGAACTGATTTCTCCATGCCAGATGGGGAAATTTGGCTAAAGCATTAGAAAGTCATTGCATGGAAACCAGCAGACAGGTGATCAGGTGGCAGAAACTGTGTGATAATCATTAGAAAAACCCCAACTCACCACACTTCCTTAATGTCTCCTATCTAAGAATCTCAAACTGCTTTGCAAATATTGAATCCATCAGTTCTCACTCAAGCAATGCCATTTGCTTGAGGAAGCGCGGCTGGAGCTGATCCCGGAGCTGGCAGCACCTTGCGCAATCTCCAGAGATAAATGGCTGCAAGAATTGCCCTGTGCTTATGCAGATCCTACCGAATAATGAGTTTCTGCCTTCTAGGGCATATGCTGAGGTGCCCAAGCTCATTCCTAACATGTGAGTGTGGTGATCCACCTTTGCTAATTATGCAGCTGGGAAGAAGGATTAATTAACTGGGTGGAGAACTGTATTAATATGCACTCTTTCTGAAATGTGAACTAGTGTCCTTGCATGGGGTAGCTCTGAGGACATACCCAAACATCAGTTGTTCACAAATTTTGCAGCTTCTCTTAGGCTTTTTCTCCTTTGAGAGCACTTGACTGCAGAGGGGTTACTGAGGGTGAATTTCATGAAGAAGTACTAAAAAAGGAAGAAAGCAAAGCATTCTTGAGGCACATACAGGAGGGGTGAAGGCAGGAAGCCTTTTTAAGATCTTCACAAAAATATTTTAACAGAATGTGATGTGTTAGGAGGGAGAAGAGAGGATTTTAAACACGCATTGAAAAAGTAACTTGTTGTGACAAAGGAGGACTAATTGGCTTCCCATCTGAAAATAAGGTCTTTTTTGCTCTGTTCTCTTAAAAAAAATAATTGGCAACAGTACACATATTGTTTTAAGTGAGGTTCTTCCAGCTTCTCTTTATCTGCCTTAACATCTATTTTTTCTGCTTGTTTATAGTCATTCTAGGAAGTCTCTGAAGTGCTATAGAAATAGAAGGATGCTCCTAAATGAGAGGAAATCAGTTGATAAAAATAGCAGCTGCCAAAAAGAATGATTTGGAGGGCTCTGCTGTAACCACTTATGCAGGTGGAAATGTTTCTAGGAGTGTGAGGAAATGACTGTGTGTCACAGCCACAGGAAATGCTGATTTATTTATTGGCTTTGTCAGAGTAGCCTTTTGCAGATAGGACTGAGCCAGAGACAGCTTTATGCAATGAGCCAGAAGGAAATCGCCTTCCTTAGAAGAAAGAAACCAGATTATCCTCTAATAATAAATAGGAAGAGGTCCCTGCAGTCACAAAATCTGGACAGACTTGTTTTATAGAAGGTTATGGCTGAGGCATTCAAAGGGAAGTTAAGCACTTTCAATCTTGAGGATTTTTTGGAGATGGGTATTGTTCTTCTTTTTTCCTCCAAAGGCAAGCCATACCTAATTCCTTACCCCCTAAATCCTCTGGAAACAATTCTCAGCCATTGGTTTATCTCATAGCTGTGATTTGCCAAAGCTTGGATTATTTTTACTGTTTCTGCCGTACAATTGTAAAGAGAAAAGAGAGAAATCTATGCTTTTGAAGCAGAAGGCAAAACCACCTCTCTGAGAACAGTACTTTGGGTTTATCCCGTGAAAGTCAGCAACAACAGATATTTTCCACAGTGCTGTTTTCAATGCAGTGTGACCTCATGGGATTGACTGTAACTTTGAGTAAGACTCCTAGCATTTTGACAACTCCACCATGGCGCTCGCTGGTGCATTTATTCTGTTCAAGAGACTTATTGTAGCTATGTTGTAGAGCTAAACTCTGCAATCTCAGAGCAAGGGGGTTTGAAAACATTTCACAGACAGAATAATTTGACAGGGATTTCTCCCTTTCTTTCCTGCTATGATGAGCCATCCAGATTCTCAGAGTAACACAGCAAAAAGGCAGTGAAGTGTATAAAATGTTAAAACAAGACTTCTTTAATAGCAGAAGCTTATGTTGCAGATTTTCATCTGCAGAACAGTGAGATGGTTGACACAATTTTTACTGACTGTATTACCATTTTGCAGCACTCGATTAGTTTGCATATTTGATACTTTTTCCCGCTGAAGTCTTATTCATGCCCTGTTTTGTACTGTTCTTCTCCAGATAGAGTCCTCTCCCTGCTACCTGCTGACCGTAAGGATCATCCGGATGAGAAATCTCCAGCGAGTGGACACCTGTAAGTATCTCCACTCTTAGTGGTAGCTCAGGGTACAGGCAACAAGTTTTCACTTATAATTGGATAGCGACCTTTTCCAAGTATTTCTAAAATAACCCAGTGTTTATGTAAACTAATTGTTATAAATCAGGTCAGACCTTGCTGCTTGCTGCTGTTTCATTGAATGTTATTCCTATGCTTTTTGGTTGGTTTTAAGACTTGAATGTGGTTTTGAGGATAAGTACTTTCTCCCAAAGAAAGGAGAGTTTCTGATACAGATATATGAAAAATACCGCACCCTGTGTTTTCAAAAGCAAAGGGTAATTTTGCCTTTGGATTGTAGCACCTTGGGAACTGTGGCTGGGAGGAGCAAACTTTTTCACCTCCCCCAATCTTGGTTCTGGCACAGATGAAGTGAACAAGAAAAAAACTTTTGAAAATCATTACCACCAGGCTAATGCCATTATTAATTACCCTGAAATGACTGCCAGAAAATGTGCTGACTGAGAGCTGGATGCCTTGTCCCTTCTAACGCTCCTGCAGTAGTGTTGCAGTTGTGCAAGCGTGTGAGTCACATGTTAGGAAAGTGGTGGGAAGTGAGTTAGCAGGAAAGGAAAATACCACTGTTTAGTTAAAGGACATGGACTATCCACATGTGTGGTGAGCAGAGGCATTTCACACAAAACAGATAAGTTAACAGTTTTGTTTTAATCAATAAAGCAATGTGACCACCTGTGAAGGTACACTGAAACTAGCTCTGGGGTGAGCATGGAAGTGGAACGGTGTACCCCTGCCTCTTGGAGAACCTCTCTTTCTTGGTTCTCCTGTTTCACTGTGAGCGGCAGCAGTTGGCACTATAGCCTCTTGCACAGATAGAGCCAGGGAAGATGTTCTGAAAGATGAAGGTCTGGATTTACCATGCAGTACCATTCCCATCTTACCCTGCGGTTGTCACGTTATTCTGGAAGGTATATCAGAGGACTTCCCCGTGTCACAGCCCTGAGTGAGGGACATACTAGCCGTATCTTAGGTCATATCACTGGGTCTCATTCTCTGCACCTGCACCTCCCTCCTGGTCCACAGCTGTGGCACATGTGTGATGATGCAATAACACAGAAAGGTTTCATCAAGGACTCAGATCTTCTGCCTGTCAGGTGGCAAGACAAAATCACAAATAACTAGGTTGTAGAAAGAGATTGTGCAAGCAGAACTGAAGCAATATTTTGCATTAAATATACAGCTGACTAGTTTTCCTGCATCTGCTTATATAATTAAGGATTGTTTGATATGCTTTGTATCTCAAAGTACAGTAAAGATACAAGAACGACGAATGATATCAGTAGAACAGAGTACTTTGCCAGCCAAACAGCCAACAGCTATTGATCTCCAATGATAAACCTAAAGTCATGCATTAGTCATACAGAATTATTTTTAAAACATTTTAAAATCAGTATTGTCATGGTTTGGGCTGGACTGGCCACTGAGGCGGAATGACAGATGCCCTCCCCCACCTCAGATGCACCGTGGCATGCTATTACTGAAAAGAAAATTGGTTCTGCTTTACCTCAAACCAGGACAAGTATCATTACTTCTAGGATCTCCAAACATATTCAAATACCTGTTTTTGCAGTTTCTAAATTCTTCAAAGCATTATTATCTGCATACTGTTTCTCAGATTAAAAAAGAAAAGAAAAAAAATAACAGTCATACAGCATCAAATTGTTGCTCATACAGTTCTCTGAGGGGGATATATTCGGTAGATCCACTGCAAAAGCTTTCTGAGGAAACGGAGTAACAAAAGAAGCCTTAGAAAGGCACTAGCTACAATGACAGATCTGAAACAACTTTTACATCCAGAAGGACTAAATAGGCTACAGGCGTTGAGTGGAAGGAAAATTATTGAGAAGGACATGGAAGCTGTCTCTACAAAAGGGAATAGGAGCAAGAAGGTGAATAAGGGGTCATTTTTCACTATTTTTCACAACACAAGAATAAAGGGGCACCCAATAAAATTATCAAACAGGAAGTTTAAAATGAGTAAAAGGAATATACAAGTAAACTGTGGAACTCATTGTCACAGGAATGTATGTATGTTAAAATATATCTGTTCAAAAAGAAAATATTCATGGATCATAAGTCTAGCAAGGGTTATTAAACAAGGTATTCCCAATGCAAACTCTTGTTTGGGAGATCCTTACTCTGGCACTGCCTGAATGATGGAGGGTGGATCAGGTGCAATACTGCTCTAGAATTAGCTGGTTTCTTCTACTCTGGAGCAAGGTGTAGAAGGGCTATTACCTGGCAGTGAAATGATAAAGAATTTATTTTTTAACATGAAAAAGTAATGCTTTTTTCTTCTGCCTTGTCCTTGGGAAAAAGCTATACTCTTCCAGATGACACTTTCCCTAAATGCAGTTAAAAGTGGTGTCTTCAGACAGAAGGAGCCCAGCCTTAAATTTAGTTCTTATATCAACTCTGTGCATAAATGTAAATAAAGATAAGCAACTTCCTTTGCAAGGAAAAGGTGCAGATTAGACACTTTGTTCCTCCTTCAGAGACGTACTGATGTGCTTAAGTGAGGTGAAATGTGTAAGGCAGCCAGACTGGTCAGGCTGACTAGACCTACCCTTACTGGGGAGACGTTTGGTATGAGTCGCTGATGTTTTCAATATTAGCAGTTAGTTTCCTGGCAGCCTGCTGCAACACGCATCATTTCTGCACTGCAGTGTTTCTACATTGTTGTTTATGAATAGAATAGAATAGAATAGAATAGAATATTTCAGTTGGAAGGGACCTACAACAATCACCTAGTCCAACTGCCTGACCAATTCAGGGCTGACCAAGTTAAAGCATGTTATTAAGGACATTATCCAAACACCTCTTAAACACTGACAGGCTTGGGGCATTGACCACCTCTCTAGGAAGCCTGTTCCTGTGTTTGACCATCCTCTCGGTAAAGAAATGCTTCCTAATTTCCAGTCTAAAGCTCCCCTGGCACAGCTTTGAACCATTCCCACGTGTCCTGTCACTGGATCACACGGAGAAGAGATCAGCACCTCCCTCTCTGCTTCCCCTCCTTAGGAAGCTGTAGAGAGCAATGAGGTCACCCTTCAGCCTTCTTTTCTCCAAACTAGATAAACTCAAAGTCCTTAGCCATTCCTCATAGGACATTCCTCCCAGCCCTTTCACCAGCTTTGTTGCCCTACTCTGGATGCATTCAAGGACCTTCACATCAGTCTTAAATTATGGGGCTTTTGATGCTGCTTATTGTACCCACAGGAATGGTAAAGACTGGGTATGCCTCCCAGACCTTAATGCAAAGTGGGCATGGGTGTAAGAAGAGCAGAAGGCAAAGGGCTATAGTATGCAACCAAAATGTCTGAAGGGAAAAGCTATCCCTGGGAATCCCAATCCTCAGAGTCATCAGTCTGCAAAGTCTGTCTTGCTATCTGTGTGAGGGGAAACAGATGCTACCGGGGTACTTTCTGTTGTTTTCACCTGCGGGCTTGAACACAGAGCAGAAAGTCAGCCTGTAGCAGCCCTTTTTCTTCACTTTGGGAGTTTGTTCCTTAAAGAAAGGGAAGAAGGAAACCTGAATGCTGGAGGTGAAATGTCCTCTCAACTAAAACAGTCAGGAAGAAAGCATAGGGAAGGGGGCTAAGAGATCAGAGTGGTCGGAAGGTAGAAGTGAATTAAAGCAGAAGATATGACTCCAGACAAGGACAGTTAAACTGCTGTCAGAACCTAAATTTGTTTTTTGTTTTTTTTTAAATCCAAAATAAGATATGAAAGGTGGAAAAGAGCAGGAGAGAGGGAGGGCTAGGGCCTGCTGAATTTTTTCCAAAAATATTTTTCTATCATCAGAGGAATATTGGGTTTTTGACTCGGCAGGGATATATTGATTTCTCCACAATTTTTTTTTAAGGAAAATTTTGACGGAATTAAAAATATTTTTCTGTTTCTGCATTATAATATTAAAAAGTAGAAAAACAATAGTTAAGGTGTCAGTTGATGTATCACGATGCATTATGTAACTTCTCAAGCAGTTCTGAATTTCAGTTCTTCATTCTGACTTGGTGTCGTGGTTTAGGCCAAATCGGCTACTGGGGACCTAGGAGACCCCAGGTGGGACTGACAGATGCTCCCCTCTATCCCTTTTCAAAGAGAGAGGCAGAGGAGGAAAAAGAGACTTATGAGTTTAGATGGAACTAAACTACTTTAATGAAATATTAATAACAAAATAAAAAAGAAATAATGAAATATATACAAAACCATATCAAGCTCCTGAGATGACAATCACGACACCGGCTGGCAATGGTGCAGTTCCAGGCTGGACTCAGTGATGGATGGAAACTGGATTCCAGATCTGCATTCAGGATCGGGATCACAGGCAAACAAACAGAGTCCTCCTCAGACGTCGGCCCAATAAGGAAGAGAGCTGACCCTTTGATCCTCAGCCTTTATATTGAGCATGAGGCAGATGGGATGGGATACCCTGTTGGTGAGTTTTGAGTCACCTGTCCTGTCTGCTCCTCCCTGCAGGTTGGACCCCTCTATGCTTTTCCACTTCCGACCCTCCAAGGGGGCAAATAACAAAGTTGGTTGGCCTTGGCTGTTATAGCAATAAGTATAAGCAAGAGCCTCTCTGCATACCATGCCTGGGCATCAACTATAAACATAGGTCTTATCACTCTGAGAGAGTGAACATTGTCTGCACAATATGCTGTTAATTTCAGTAGTTAGAGAGGCCCAGCTAAGAAGCGAAGTTACTGAACAAAATTGGTTCCATTTTACCTAAAATCAGGACACTTGGGCAGAAACACAGTCAGCTTTGTTGAACAAATACACTTTCAACAACTTAAAATGTAGCCTCCACCTAGTTCGAGATAGAGCCAATGGCTGTAGGGTCACACCTGGCAAAACCTGGTGGAGAAGGAAAGAAAAGGAGGGAAAAAAAAAAGCCCCTGTTGCAGCCAGGCAAGTTTTTGCCTTTCCCCACAAGTCGATGTGCAAGCTCTTGTTCCCCTGATCTACCTGCAGAGTCCTCAGCTGCTGCTGAGGAGTCCTCTCCATTTACTACTGCCACCACTTGTCTCTCTCGAAAGTCTCATATCAAAGGACATACATTCTCCAAGTTAGTTACGTTTTGCGTTATATGATATCTGATCATTTTATTGTTAAGAACCATTTAAGAGAGAGTTTCAAGGTGCTGAAGTATTTTGCATAACCTGCATGAAGAAATGTTTCATTCCCCCAGCACACAGTACATCACATTTTTTGACTTTAGCCATTGAGATATACTTTAATTTTGGTGCCTTTAAGAAATGGCATGGAATGTCCTTCACTAACCTTCTCCCGGTGCATTTCTGGAGAGAGACTTGGTCCCTCTTTTCCTGGAGGTGGCAATTCATTAAGATCCAATGTCTAATTCAATGAGCTGCTTCTGGAAGAAACCTCTGCTCTCTCCTACAACAGGGGTAGTTCTGCAGCTGCTTTCACAAACCTTCACCAAAACAATCACTGAAGGCAAGGCAGAGATGGAGACCTTTGCAATTGTTGTCAAAAGGCAGAGGAGGTTCTCAGGCCCCTCTCATCGGACAGCAGCTGAGTGTTAGAGAGTGTGTGTGTGCATGCACACATGAGCACAGGAAAGCTTGTGGTTTGAGAAACTAAAGAAAGTGGCTGACTATAAGAGGAAATTCTCACCCCCTTCTTTTATTCACAACATGGTGTTGTCAGTAACTCATGCAAGGAAGAATAGAAACCACCTCCTGTTCTAGGTCATCTTATGGTCTGCTTTTCCCCCTTAGAAGGATATCTTGGAAAGACTTACATTACATCAGGCATTTCTGCCTTTAAATAACTCATACTTGCTGTTGGTACCACACAGTAACCTTTCCAGTGTCATGCAGCACCACTGACTTTGCCACATTAACAGTTGTTTCACCTCTTCCCCTATCCAGTAAGCGAGGCTGATTGCTACGTATCATTGTGGCTGCCAACTGCGACATGTGAAAGGTCCCGCACTAAAACTGTGAGAAACTCCAACAACCCAGTGTGGAACGAAACCTTCTACTTCAGGATCCAGAGTCGGGTCAAGGTAAGGAGCCAAAGTTGTCTGCTTGAAGCAGCCTGAGGACTTTGGGTATGGTGGGTCCTATCTATCTCCTGAACTGTGCCCAGGAATTCTTTAAGGGATGGCATATGATAAGGAACTATTCAAACTGTTTAACAGCAGAGATGACTGAGTTCCCATGCCTGTTTGATGCTGTCGTTTAGGAGGGGCAGAAACTGAGGTCAGTATTGAAGTTTTAGGGAAACTAGAGACTCTTATGAATCAGTGCAAGAGGGATACAGAATTTGGGAGTTAACTAAACTGTCGTGTCAGTGTAGCCAATGTATTACTCATGTTACAGCAATTAAACTGGGGAAGAATGAATATTTGATTTACGCTATGTTTTTCCAAAGTTTCCAAAATTTCTCCGCTTTTCTTCTCAAGCACATCCCCAACGCTCCTTCTTCCCTCGAGCTAGTGATGTCCAGACTGTAGAAACAATAAAACCCCCTTCTGCCTCTTTCTCCAGAATGTGCTGGAGCTGACAGTGTATGATGAGGATTTTGCTACTCCAGATGACCATCTCCTCTGTGCGCTCTTTGATACTGCTAAACTTCCAATTGACAGAACAGTGCTCCTGTATTTTAAGCCTGACCCAAAGGTGAGATCTGTGAGATCAGTGCCTGCAAGGTCTGGCAGGAGGGGGTGTAGAGGGCACACTTACCTGAGTTTTCGAGACTGAACTATAAATTTTAATGGACTTCTTTTTCCTGGTTTATGTGTTGCATTGCTTTACCCTACTCCAATGTCTCTGGCAATGCATATTGCAGCTCTTCTCTGTGGTGTCTTCCATGAAGCAGTCCCTTTTGGCTACAGCTGCTTGAGCTCTTCAAGTCAGTATTAGTTGGTAGTTTTGGCAAAGTATCTTTGGTTTATTTCCTGGGGCTGAACTTATGGATTATTGTTCCAGTTTGTATCTGGTCCAGGAGCTATGTGAGTCCATCAATTAGATCAAGTAGGTGGTTAAAATGAAAAAACTAAGAAACCAGTGGAGAGTTATACAACACTTCCAAAATCTTGGGGTGAACTTTCTGAATCCGCCATGGATGACCTATCCCAATAATGGGTACATGAATTGCCATTAAAAATATAAACACAAAAAATGTGGTTAAAAATCTGGATTTGAGACTCTGAGCCCCTCCTCCCAGTATTTTTACAAATTATTAAAGAGCGTATGGCTGAAAGAGGGTGGTAGGTAGGGGAGGGATCTGACTTCGAGGTACCCCTGACTTCGAGGTACCCCGAGGCTGCGCAGCTGTTGCAGGGCGAATAATCTGTAATTTTTTTCCCATGTAGTTCATAGCCACTACCCCATGCCCCTTTGATTGTATCTACTTTCACCCCAAAGGAAAAGCTGAAGTTGTCCCTGTGTGTATCCCGGCACTGTCCTCTGCAGTGCACTGCAGTGATACCTGTAGGGCTGAGCCTGCTGACTTGTCTATCAGAGTTTGTGTGGTTTTGGAGCTCTGAATGACTGATTTACTCTGTTTCTCAATTTCCCACCTATAAAATGGGAAAAAAAGAGTCTTGACTCCCTTTGAGATCTACGAACGAGATCAGTGAAATATCTCACAAGCAACCTCTTGCTACCATGGGCAGATTGCTTCTGTTGTCCAAACTGGGTCACTCACAAGTAGCTCATACTTACCAACACTGCCTTACAGGGGGTTGCATAACTGTAACTCTGAATCACTCAATAATACCAGTCCCTGTTTATTATGTTAAAGTGATGGGTGGAAAGTATCTTTAACTTCCAAGCTAATAGCAAGGACCGTAAGTCATGGCAGGACAGTGTCAGGAATAGATAAGAGAAAAAGGTAGAATTCAGAAGACAAAGCAAGTGGCAAATTGTCTTTCTGGAACACCTTCATATTGAAAGATAAAAGTACAGGTTGTTCTGATTGTACCTTGTAGAAGAAAGGAGGTGAGGCAGGAATCATTAAGCTGTTTTGAAATGTTTTTTTCAGATCTTCCACCCTGAAATATTTATTACAGGAAGTGTATTTCATCCAATTACTTCAATAATGCATACCAGGGACCTGGGTATAGACAAGGGTGAAAGAAGTATGTAGCTACTTCATTTAATTCCTTATTCTTGTTTTCAGGCCAAAGAGGAGCTAGAGGTTGAATTCAAATTGGAGGCTGCGTAAGTGATATACGGATTCTTTAAAAAATGCAAAAAATGTTAAATGCTAACACACAAAAACAGCATTAGAAGTTATACTTTGTGGGATATCTGCAAAAACGTGCCAGATTTCTCCTACATCTTTACTGCAGTCTCTGCTGGAGTGAGACATGTGTCTGATAGCTTGTTCTGTCATCTAGTCGCTTTCAAAGATGCAACTGCCAGCATTGGCTCTCCTAGCCACAATGTTGGATTTGTCTACCTGGGGACATTTCAGAAAACTTTCTGAGTGTGCTTGCATGAGCTTGTGTGTGGATGCATGTCTATCAATCTTTCCATGCCTGTTTCAGCTTATACACTAGGCAGACTCCTGATGTTGAACCGTTTGGATTAGGTTTCCAGCGTATCTCTGACTCTGACTCTTTTCATCCTAGTAATTCTGTTGTCTTTCTGCCCAACACAATGACAATGTGTTGGAAGGTCTACTGCAGGACTTTTCCTCCAGCACGGTCAGCCTGCCATTCATATAAATTAGTATTTTTGTCTCTGTGTTGCTACAAGGTAACTAAGGCACAGCAGAAATAAAGTGCCCAGCCTAAGGTCAGCCCTCAAACTTGTGGGCAGCCAAGACCGGAATTCAAATCACTCCATATCATCTCCTGACTTCACCTGAATGATCTGGAAAGCTTTTTCTTTCCCCCATGTAATTCATACCCGCTGCCTTCTACCCCTTTGATTGTATTTGTATATCAGCAAATACATAGAACTGGGCTTCCCAACAGGAATATGCTGGTGCATTGGTATCTTAGCCCTGAAATACATGTACTTTAAATGTTATAGTGAGGAGAATTTGACTGCCTAACTGCAGATTCCATTTTAGATCATCAGGAGATTGCACTGCAAAAAAGTAGCCGTGATATACATCGCTCACCTTTGGTATAGAGGCATGTCCCCTGAGAGCAGTGCGCAGTCCAAGCAAGCATGGAAAGGAGCTTGTTGTGCCAGGGTCCCTCTGGCAGTCATTCATCTAAAGGGGGAGAGAGGGCAACACCCTAGGCAAGGATGAGTGGTTGTTTGTTTGATCTAAACAAAAAATGTTTTTCATTTTGTTTCCCAGTTCTGGTCCTCATGAAGTCATTGCTACCAATGGAGTCCTGGTGGTATGTGTCTTTTTCCCAAGAAATTTCCTACAAGTATTTCCTTAATATAAAGGGAAAGGGAAGGTGGGGTTTAGAGAAGCTGTGATCTATAAGATAGCCGGTGGGCCAGTTCTTTCTCTTTCTTCCCCTTTTCTGTTTAAGATGCTTAGAGAATGGGATATTTTACTGTCCTGTTCATTGGTGATATCCAACTGTTTTCCATTTGTCCTGTATTTTGACGCAACGCACACACAGAGCTTTCCTCTGGTACCAGTACTCCTTCAAAAATGTACTGCTGTCTGTCAAAGCACAGTGGTAAGAAGCTCGTGAAGCCATTTGCTGATAGCCTACCCAGCCCTTTCCTCCCCTGGGAGATGAGACATGCCTGGTGGGTAAGGTCAGCACTAAGTATTGACCTATTGTAGCTACATTAGGTAAAAGAAGAGGGAGTGCCATAAAAAAAACCCCAAACCAAAATGTTAATAGCAATGCTTCTTCAGAAAACTCTTTCTACTACTGACTTGGTCAGTCAGAAACATATCTTTCATTTATGTTTTTCCCCTGTTTAATCCTTTGTATTTGTGATAGTATCCTGAAAATGCTCCTGATTTTCTTCCTTTGTATTTTTGTCTTACTGCTCCTAGTCGTATGTCATTGTCACTGGACAATGCTCTACAAGTCCCTTCAAAGTTACTCCTTTTTCTTAGTCAGCAGCTACTAGGCAAAAGCTTGGAAATGCCAGGGAATTGGGCATTTCGGGAAGCTAGACATGTCCAAAGCTGAATGATTCACAGCTCCCCGTAACAAGGCTGGGATGTGAAAATCTTTCTCTTTTATTTTTCTTGGCCTTTCACAGTGTCGTGAACTTTGCTGCTTAGAAGTTGAAGTGGCAGAGAAGAAGCAGCAAAAATCAAGTAAGGTTATTGCTTTGTTATCTATTTACCAATATCTGCATGTTTATTGATTTCATATAATACATTTCATATAATGTATTAGTGAAATAAATAGTATTTACAGTATTTAGTGCAGTTAACACCAGGTAAATGCATGAGGTTGTTATAGACTTCAATGACTGCATCTTGTACTCCTTTAGGAATATGTCAATAAGGACTATTAGACCCACATTAAAGTCGAAATCACAGTTGCATATAACAGCAAGGACCTTCCAGAGCCCCCTTTCCATGACAATAGCCTCCGCTTTGCTCCTTTCCCTTTGCTGCTAGCGCTCCCTTCAGAGCAATTTCCACTAGACAAAACTGTGGTCCAAACTCTACAACTCTGCTACTCGCACCCCACTTTTAATCAAGCCAGCACAATTTTCCATGACATTGTGACATTTCTCACAACCTTTGTTTTGGTCTTCCAGAGAAAGAGCTTTCCCTCACCGTGAAGGGCTCCTTTGAGGGCACACAGGATATCACACTGGGCCCCGACGGAGTGGCCTGCCCATCAGGTCCCACCAAGTTCCACTATATCAAGTACGCGGAGCCAACACTGGACGTCATGTTGCCAAAGAAGAGGCGCTACCACCCTGTATGTTGGAAGTCGCCTTAATGACGAACTGACCATGAGTGCCTCTCTAGAAAGTGGGAGGAGGGGGAGAGGGTAAACCCATTACTGTTTTTTGTTCTAAAGCATGTTGTTTTCCCAGTGGAGCTGTAAGTACAGTACAGAGACCGGCTCCCCAGTGGTGATGCTGAATTCGCTGCCCATGGGAAGAAAAACAACCATTGCGGAGGTGAGCATCTCTTCCAGCTGTTAGGAATAAACGCTGAAATCATTCCTTCTGTAAGGTCCCATAATATTGTCTCAGATGGCAGCTAAGAGGGTCAGACCTTTCTCTCAGACCCTGTACAAACATGAGCTTTGTTTCTCCAACTATTTTCTCCACAGAAGAAGGTTGTCCCTCCACTAGTCTCCATTATGTGCCAATAGTGGATACAGAGACCAACACGGATGTCAGAAAATATGATTCCTTCAGTACATCTCTCCCTGTTTACCCAAAGAAGCACTGACTCCTCCATTGCTTAGGGTACAAACTGAAAGTTGCTCCTTGGACACAAGCTAGGAAAAAGTCAATAAACTTGCCCTTAGTAAACCATGTGCTTCAAACAACAGTATATTAAAATATATCAAAATATTAAACATAGTGTATGGATTTTAAAGAATGTAATGAGAATATTGCTTGAAAAGGATGTATGTGTTGTATAATTTTGAATGAAATGGATAGAAAAAAAAGGATCCTTGCAATAAAAAAAATGTTTCTGTGAAGAAACATCTACAGATGTCCAGATCAATAGGGACAATCTTTTCCAAATATTAATTGTTATGCTGTTAAGAAGTAGGACAACATCAGATTTCAGGGCTATTAGAACAGGACACTTTATGTCAGCTAATATGAAGGCTGCAATAAGGATTTTAAGACAGGTTGAAGTCTTGGCAGCAGCAAATGCAGACTTGCAGTCTCTTCACCGAGAGACTGTGGCCAGGATGTCAAAGATCTGATGTGTAGTAGAGCATAAAGAACGGGAAACATACAAAAAATGGTATTTCATGATGCTGCAGAAAGCTTGTGAATATCACGGGAAATGGGACCTACTGCATGAGTCTCAGGAACCTCCTATACCAAGATTGTTAATGGTTTCTGGAAGCATATGGGATCTGTGGGTAGGCATGTTTCACCAGAGATAAGTGTTTGTTTCAAAATATATGTCAAGATCTCAGACATTTAACTGTGATTTCCAGACCTTGCTGGGGTCCAAATCAAGCTCTGACCCCAAAACAGAAAAGGAAAAAAGAAATTTGAAGAGTAAAATTAAAAAATTACAGTACACATTCTTCTTTTCCAGGAGAAAAGGTTTGACTTGAATGTGACAGCACAAAACTGGTAAGAGATCATCTTCTGTTCCTGAAGACTTGGGTTATTGATTTTGATGTTGTTTTAGCCACACGGAAATGACACAAGAAGGCATTCTCAGTCAGAAAACTGGAATGTGCTTTCAATAAAACATAAAATACCTGCACAGTATATTATACATAATTAGCCTTAGGAAGATTTGGCTTTAATCAATAAATTTTGCTAAACAGGTATTTATTTTAGCATTATCCCTTCCCTTCTGACCACAAAATATTAATTTTGATCAATGTCAGCCTCTGAAATTCACAAAAAGAACAAAACTGACTAAAAAAACAGAATGGACAGGAGTAAACATCAAACGATCAGAAATTATGAATGTTTATTTTTTGCTTAACTGTCAATACTCAGTAGCAATAAACCTTGTATTCTGTTAAGTCCAGTTATACTGTATATTGAGTAGAAACCGCAGCAGACAATGTGGCTGGTGATTTGACATATGTAGACATGCTTATTAATATTCATTGGTAAACATGAAGATGTTTTATGTTATCTGTAACATGCAGAACTGGGCAACCTGATATTTTTTCTTGTGTGTGGGGGGGCCTGACTAGGAAATAAAGGGGAAAAATTACTTAATGTTTAGTTCAAACAGAATTTTCTATCACTCCTTTCAGAAAGGCAAGCGATCAATCACAACAGGAAAACAAGTGTTATTCCAGAACAGGAAAAATGCTTCCCATTTATTTATTTTACACTCAGAGAACTTTAGAAGCAGTTTATTTATATCTTGATTTACAATGGAAACTGGCATTTGCAGCTCCACCTAACTCCCTTGCATGTCTTCTTGAGTGCTTCCCTTACGTATCCTTGTTTACAAATACAATTGTGATCATTTGGCTGATTTTATCCAAATTTGATGGTTAAGAAGTCTCATAAATAAATTTCATACTCATTTCATTGAAATTATAGACTCAGTAGAAGAGAGAAGTTCTGTCACTGAAAGAAAAAGCAAAACCCTGCCCTCTTACAAAGCCTGGCCCGGGCTAGGGAGTCCACAGGTAGCTCTGGCCTGAAGACACCGTGCCAGATCTCTTGCCTGTTGATGTCTTGCAGGTGGAGGGCAAGAAGAGACAGGAGGGAGGTTAGTGAGCTGAAGAGCACAAATGCCCAGGGAAGTAAGCTGCAGCAGTGGAGTTTTAAGGAATGACTTATTAAATTTCAAAATTGATGCAAATAAAATCTTCCTCTGAGGAATATTATGCTTTACAATTTTTGAGTCAAGGCTGGTGTGAAATACAATTGCCAACGTCAACCTGTGAGACAGCTTGTGCAACTGCAGACACATCAGAGCAGCAGGAGGTGAAATCCTGCCCCACTAAACTCAGTGACCCATCTCCATCCATCCAGGGGCTGGATGTCACCGAGGTCATGCCTCCAGCGAGCAGGGTGACACGGCCACCCGTGGCTGGCAGGCGGGCGCATGGGTTTCCTCCCCAGTGGTGCTCACCACTAGAGGGGGATGCGTTCTCACTTGAGTAGCTTGAAAGGAGAACTGCCCTTCACGTTGGAAATGCCAGCATTTGAAAATTGGGTTTTATTTTAGTTTTAGAATGACCAAAAACCCCGGGAAATGGGAATCAATATACTCACTGACCGTTTGCACAGATTTTCTAAACTCATAATTCTTTTAGTTTTAGAATATTCATTTAAATATTTTGTTTCATTTGTAAATATTATATATTGTTTCTTCATTTATTAGTAACAACCATGTATAATGCCACTGGTTAAGCTTACTAACTGAAATAAGTTTTCTTACTTTTAAAATAGTTAAATATTCTTTCTTGCTCTTGTCACTTTGCATCACCCTGTTTGAAGGGATGGGAGCTGTAGATTATCTCTGATCGAAGTCCTAAGATTGATAAGGGTGTGTTAATATGTAAAATATGTGCCTTTTTTTATCTTAGTAATTGTTCGTGCCACCAAGACCTGGACATGCGCTTTGGGTTTGACTTATGTTCAGAGGAGATGACTTTCCTGGGGAAAAGAAAGAGATATGTAGCAAGTGCCCTGAAAAATGTTTTTCACCTACAACAGGATCTGCAGGATCATGAAGTACGTGTGTGTTGGGGGGGGCGTAGATCTTCATTTCCTAGTGCCTTCATGTAATTTTCAAAATTAGTGGTCAGCAAAATGGGTCATATGTATCTGTTGTGCAGGTACCAGCTTGTCCATGTGTCTTAAGTACATTTGCTTCTGCTGCCAAGGTTTGTTATTACAAGAAACACTGGTTGCAGTGATTGCATCCATCATGACTGTCAATTTGGAATTTGTTGGATTTGAGGTGTGTTCATCCCTGCCGCCCTATGCTATAACTGGCTTGGTTCAGAAATACTGTGTGCGTGTTAAACACATTACATAGCAAAGATTTCTTCCCTTGTTCAGATTTCATCATTGTGTGAATGTTTAGGATAAACATCTCTGAGTGCTTCTTATATCTTCTTCCCTTTCTTGCAGTTTTGAAATTCCTCAAAATAAATATAATTTATTTTAAAGTAATTTCATGATACTGAAGAATAACAGCACTGACGTGGGTAGCTTAACAACACTGGCTGTGAACCATATTTCCTCATAGGATTGGCATGTGGATTTTCATACAGTAGTAGTAGATGTATGAAGTAAGAAAAAAGTAGCAAAGGAGTGGGAAATGTAGAGAAAATACACTGTTGTCTCCACAGAAGGGTTTCTTCTAATTCAGCTGTGCCCGTATTTGCCCTAGAGATGGGCAGGTTTGGATTAATCTCTGAATCCATGCTTATCTGAAGGGAAGCAGCAGTAGCAGTCATTGCTTGGTTTTGGAGCCTTTCCTTCTGAAAAGGGGCCCGGGCTCTGAGATCAGGACCTGGGCTGGGTGTGGTGGACAGACCTCGTTGCAGTCTGGGGTACCATGTTGAATGCTCCTACTGTGAATGTCCCATCCTCCTCTGCCCAACAGGTCCCTGTGGTGGCTATCATCACGACAGGCGGGGGACTGAAGTCGATGACAGGACTATACGGCAGCCTCATGGGACTCAAGAAACTAAATCTCCTGGACTGTGTAACATACATCAGTGGGTTGTCCGGCACCACGTGGTAAGCCAGCTCGTGCAGGAGGCTTGACCAGGGTCTTTCGAGGGTGATGCTGCTGCAGAGGGGAGCTTCTGAAAGCAGACAAGATCAGGAGATTTTCTTCAAACATTGTAGAAACAAGCTGCTTCTCAGTCACAGGCCATCAAATATTAGCTTGGCCTGACTGATTTTTTATTAGCAAATCTTTACTGTGCTTTTCAACTGCACATTAGAAGCAGTTAAATATGTATACGACAATTACGCTTGTCCAAATGGTTTCTAAGTAAGTAGTTACTTTGGATGTAAGACTGCCTATATCATCACACCTCCTTCTCTCTCTGTTGATGTCCCAGTTGTTGTTGTTACCATTAACTTCTGGGACTGGCTCTGCTTTCTAACTGGTCACACAGAGAAAACCACAGGACAGTGCACACTTACAACTCTCAGTTTGGGAAAGGACTGTGTTCCTCCAGAGAGTGTTATTCTCTGCTTACAGGACCTACCACTGAGCAACTATGGTCCCATGTAGGGAAGGCTGGTAAAATAGAGGATGGCATGAAAGTAAGGCATAGTGATACTGTAAGATTAACACTAAGTGATACAAAGCCAAGAGACAGCAGCTGTTGTGAACAAATTTATGGTTCTAGAAAACAAGCAAAGAAAATTTATTATAACTTTCTGCCTAATTTGTGCTTCAGAAATGTACCTATGTTCACACCTGGTAATTTTATCCCTTAAGTTGCTGACAGTTCTGTTTGGGAAAAAAAAAAAAGTCAAGGACATAAAAAAATAGCGTATCCTTCAGGGTCATCTTTAAAACAGTCGTAGAAACTCTGGAGTGTTCATTCTGCTGGATGGAGCAGCAAAACCAGAGTATGTATGAACAGAAACTAAGCCCAAAAAGTAAACTGCTGTCCCCAAAGGCAAAATTTCAAGTCTATTTTTGCTCCTTTTGACTTATGCTGTCTGTTTTGTCTTTGTCCAGGACCATGGCCAACTTATACAGAGATGCCTACTGGTCACAAAAGGACCTAGACTCTCATATTGGTGAAGCCCAGAAACAAGCAACCAAATGCAAGATGGGCTGTTTCTCTATGGATCGCATGAAGTACTACAATAAGCAACTTTGTCAGAGGAAAGAAGAGGGATACAGGACATCATTTATAGATCTTTGGGGGCTCATGATTGAGTACTTACTAAATGATGGGGTATGATGTAAATTCCATTTCCTAGAGAACCACGTATTTTTCTCTTAGTGAACGGAGAGGAAACTAGCACATCATTTTGGTGAACATACCTCAAAAAAAAGTGGAGTTCTCCATGTCAACAAACGCTCAGATTTTTTAATTTCCTTGAATAGACTGCCTAGGGAGAAATGCATCCTATATGTTAATAAATAAGGTTGTGGAGGCAGCTGGAACTCTGGCTGTTATTTAAATAGAAGTGGAGGCAATCTCTGGCAGTCTGCCTAAGATAGAGAATATGCATGCAAAAAGAGTTCAAGGTGCAAAGCAGAGTAATCTCAACAGTGTGAGAACTATCTGAAGCAAGCATGAAACAGCTAGAGTGCTTACTGATTTGCATCCACTGGCAGGTAACTTGACCTGCAGGTACGCTGAAGGGAAGTGCATATTTTACTTTTACTGAGAAGGGCTGCTCAGACAGTAGCTGTTTTAAGTGATATTAATTTTTACAAGCAATAACAAATATGCTTTTCTATTATTTAAAATTGTTTCTACCCCTGAGGTGCAGCGGTCCACTCCCTCTTCTCTCCAGCAGGACCACAGTTCAAGGATGTGTGCTTTGGCACTTGGGAAGTGGGAAGGGACAGGTGGTTGAGGATTGAACAGAAGTGTGCTCCAGCGGGGGCAGAAATGCTGCAGTCATTCAGCCATTCATTGGGTTTTATTTATTTATTTTTATATACATACATATATAGTATCATATTTTCATAAATGAAAAATAAATACATACAGAGAGGGATACTATATATTAAACAAAGGTATAAGCTGAATAGCTGCCTCTCTTTTGATCTCAGCTAGATGAGGTCCCCCACGTGATCTAGCCAAGCATCTTTCCCTTTGAGCAGTGCTGACTACTGCTGTGTAACCACTAACTTCTCCCTAATCTGCCAGAACTAGCTGCTCTCAAATTTGTCAGCAGTTCATGAGATTTTATGGTTTTTTTACAAACCTCTTCAATGAGAATGCGCTTTTCCAGAAAAGAAGCTGGGTGGGGAATTTGCTGTCAAATTCCCGTCCCCTTGCATGGCTGGACTGTGACAGCTATTGTGTACTAAGAAAGAAAACTGACTGCCTACCTGCTCAAGGGCTTCCTTCAGGAGAGCAAGGACTGGTCACTATGCGCCTCATCCTAAGGGGCAGCTGGTCCCTTCTACTTGCTAGGACGATATTTTCTACTACATACAGACATCTATGCAGAAGTAGTTTTCTCTCTCCTCATCTATTTATGAACCCATGCGCAAAGTCAGGCTGGACCCTGGGAGACTGGTCTGCCACCGGCGGGTGGGTGCCAGCAGTGGTCCTGCGTGCCAGGGGCAGAGCTGCACGGCTCCTCCAGAGCTGGGGCCATTGAATTTACCACATGTCATTTCCATCTCTTCTCACATAACTGTTTTTCTTCAAAACCAGAAAGACTCCCACAAACTTTCTGACCAGCAAGAAGCACTGTGTGATGGCCAGAACCCACTGCCCATCTATGTGTCCGTCTGCGTCCGGGACAACTACAGCACCAATGATTTCAAAGGTAAGGTTGAGGTTTCAGATCCTGTGGGGCTAACACTGGAAACTGAATTTCTGTGATTTGCTCTTCTCTGCTTGGTAGCAGTTGGAGAAAACAGTCCTGGTGTGTTAGTTGCTTTTTGCAGAAATAACCATCGCCTCTGTGCATTATAATTTTAATTCCAGAGCTTTTTGAGATCAGCATTTCACTGTCTAGACACACACAGTCGAAATCCTGCCTGAAAGGCCATTTTTGAACTATTATCTGATCCACCTAGAATAAGAAGTATTGGAATTGTCCGAGAATTAAATACTGTTTTCTGTCTATGTCCGGTTATAGTTTCAGTATGAAGAAAGACCATATAATTATTGCAAAGTTTGGGAAAGCATCCAACCTACTCCCAGCTGAATCTTTTGCTTTGCTCATTGTTTTGGTTATTTTTTTCCATGAGGAGAAGCAGCTGGAGGAGGAGAAGGGGCAGAGAAGAAATTCAGATAAAATTTTTTATGGTCGAGGTGAAAAAACGAACCACTTCTGAACGAAAAGGAAATTATGGTCCATGACCTTTCTGTTCCAGTCTTTGCTCACACTGCAGTTATATCAGACCACTGCACTTTACTTGGAGAGGGCATCCAAGAAAGTCAAGGACTAGTTCTGTCTTCTTTAGCACCACACGTAAAGAGTATAGCTAGTATAATTTCTCAAGAGCTGAGTACCTGTCTTTGTACACAATCAAATTATTCAAGGGAAGTTAACTGTACTGATAATAGTGGAAGTGTTACCTGTCTAGATGTGGCATATGCAAGGGCAGAGTGAAACCTCATGCATGCTGGAGAACCCTGGACTGGTGCAGGCGCACGGGGTGTGTAAGAGCTGGAGCCTTGCGATGCTCCCAGCGTGCACCTTGTTCCACCAGCAGCACCACCATGAGCAGCGTACCTGCTCCTGCCTCTCCATTGCCACAGTGTCATTGCTCGGCTGCCTGGTCCTGCGGGCGGTCATTTACAAGCAAGGCTTTGCAAAGGCAGCGTAGCAAACAGAGGTCAGGGGGGTTATGCCCTCGCTGCCCCTCTCTCCACCCCCAGCTGAGAGCCTGGGAGCCCTCTAAGTGACCCATTGTGGCTGTATTGCAGAGTGGGTGGAGTTCACCCCCTACGAGGTGGGACTGCTGAAGTACGGCGCGTTCGTTCGCACAGAGCATTTTGGAAGCGAGTTCTTCATGGGGCGCATGTTGAAAAAGCTCCCCGAATCCCGGATCTGCTACCTTCAAGGTGATGTATTGCGTCGGCCTGGCACAGAGGCACTTCGGAGGGGTGCCACGCTGTTAACTAGAGGGTGGATATTTCTGGTCTACCATACTGAACGCTGCTATGATATCACCTGCCAGGAAATGGGGGTGTGGGGTAGTTTGTCCAAAAGGATACAGTAAAAAATCCCACATCTTTTTTCAGTTTCTTGTCACTGTTTTGGTATGCACAAACTTTTAAACATTGGGCCTCATGAATGGAATAGGTAAAGCTCCTTAATTCTTTCATTATAAGTAATAGTTCCCACTTCTTTGGTTGTTCTTCTGATTCCTCTCTGAATGCACTCCAACTTATGAAATTTTGAGACAGCAGGAAACCTTCAGGTGTGCTTCCACTGAGAGGTTTAACTTCAACCCTGTGTAGACAATCCCGTCTACTAAAGATGCAGCCTGCTCAGGGTGGAAAATGAGGCCAGAAGTGAAGGGTTTCTGAATGTCTCTGGTCAGTCCCTGACTTGTACTGATGGGTTGTCTGTAAAAGTAATAATATCCCTTTATCAAGGAGTCAGAATAACTGGCAGGTGAACACAGTGCAGTGTGAGTTCAGATTCAGTCATCTCTTCTTACACTCCTGCTTAGGAGCTCCTTGGTTTCAGTAAACATTGTGATATTAAATAGTCTATAATGCCTAGGAGCGTCTTTAAAATACTACCTCTTGGGCTGGCCCTTTTCACCTGGTCCACTACTGGGAAATTTTCTACATACTGAGTATTCTGTACTGGTTTCTGTGCCCCACTGAAAATTAAGAAGTCCAATTGTGATAGACTAATTAAAATACATATTTAAATTTACAACAGCAGATGAAATGGTGGCATTGTGTTTTGTCAACAAAGCCACCAGTGCCCCTGAGGGGAGGCAGAGAGGGGCAATCCTGGATGGAGAAAAGAGTGCACAGAGGAGCAGGACCCCACTGTGTCTGAGAGCCTTTACATGCTGCGGTGTGAGAGCTTCTCTTGCAAACCAAACAGCTGAAGAGCCAGTTCATCCGCTGATTCGGGGTGCGGGAAAGCTGATCAAAGCGTGTGCAGAAAAAGAGAAGCTGGAGTAAGGAAGACAGGGACGGAAAGGATGTTTTTGTGCTGCCTGTGTTATCTGAGCTCTCATTTCAGTTCTTGAGCAAGTGGTTTTTTCTCCTTTACTTCTCTCCCATTCTTCTCTCTCTTTACCATGTGGCAACAGTAGGTTAGATGCAGAAATGATAACAGCATAACCTGAACCAATGCCATAGAAAGTTAAAAGGAATTTAACAGCCCAAAAGTTTAGAAGTATTTGAAGTAAACCCATTAAAAAATTAATCCAGGAGGTCAAAATAGAAGGAAAAAGGCAGTTTCTTGTTAGAATGTGTCCTTGTGTTCGCTATTTCCCTTTACAGGTATGTGGAGCAGTATATTTTCTGTGAACCTATTACAAATATGGGGACTGTCCCACAGTTCAGAGGACTTCTGGAAGAGATGGACACAAGACAGAATAGAAGAAGTTGGTGAGAAATTGTTAAGATTTTGATTTATGGTCACTTAGTCTTCTGGATACCTTTTGGCATCATCTTGTCAGCTACATTGAAGCAAGCATCATAGCGAGCATATCTCTGAAGAGATAGTGACTTCCCCTCCCACTATAAAGACTAAGAGGAAGAGGGTAATCAGGGAGATGCTGCTGTAATTACCAGACTTACTAAAGCCCTACTGATTAAAAGGGCCTGTCCTTAAGGGGAAGTTTCAGAGTGGTCACACATTTCTCAGGAACTGTTTTGGCATTGCCCATTCTTTCTCAGCCATACGGATCCAAGAACTAGTGACAGGGAATAAAGTTATTTTTACTGCCTGTGCAGAGAATAAACCTGAATATCAATTGGCCAATCAATATTTCCTGGCTTTTTATTTTATTACTCAGTACAGTAATTACTGCATTGGATTCATACTGGCACAAAGATAGATGAGGCCCAGAGGGTATTTTCTGAAGCAATACAGAAACCATGGTTTTATTGCTAAATCATTTAATATGATAGCAACTATAATTACAGACATCCCGAAAATAAAGAAATACATCTGTGCAATCACGGAAACCACCAAGTCTCTCCTGCTGTACTGTCAGCCACTTGGTCCAGCAAAGCAGGTTGTGATTTCAAGAAATGATTTCAAGAAACCACACCTTGTACTATTTCTACTTTTCACCCACATATGCTGCCGTTTAGTCACCCTGAAAACTACCTATAGTTTCTAAATATGAATGTGTGCCCCAGGTTTTCCTGGGATGCTCTCGTTCTACTGATTAAGCATATGCTTATGTAGCCATGGGTGATTATCAGGTAGAAGCTGTCACTGTTGCAGTAGACCCCTGTGGTGCCCTGTTGCCCATCTGACTGAGTGGGGGCATATGCTTCAGCCTCATTTCCTCCATGCTTGCCTCTCTTTCATGGTATCTTCCTGTGAGGTTATGTAACTTTCTTTCTGATAGGACATTCTTTGAATTGCTTAGTTCCCTTAAGGTGTCCCTTTTCCAGGACTAAAGACTGCTTCTGATGAATTGCTTTCAGGCCAAAGCTTAAGACCACCATCAGAGCTTTGTTCAGCAGTCACTCCTCTCCTTAGGAATAGTTTTCGTGTGTGTAGTGAATTGTCCCAGAACAACCCCTGAGATCTCCTACACACCAGGACAACCAGAAAGGAACATCAATTAACAAACAATTCACCAGTTTTTCTCCCCTCTTCTAGATGAAGACCCCGTATTGCCTACAAGACCCCACGAGCTGAGGACTCGTATGTACACTCCTCCTGGCCCCCTGTCCAGCGCCCTTCGGGGAGCATTGACTGACCGTTTCTCCGTTGCTCAGCACCACAATTTCCTGAAGGGCTACCAGCTGCATAGCAATTACCTGGAGAACGAGCACTTCTGTCGATGGAAAGGTAATGGGAACTCATATTTAACAGGCATCATTTTCAGGTAGTTTTGGAGTGGGGAATTTAGGAAAGAACCTTGCCAGGCTTTGCAGGGGAAAAAAAAACCTCCTGGAAGAGCATTTCTTTTCTGAACAGAGAGAAGAGACTAAAACCTCAGTGTTGCCAGGTATTTAAGCCTGTTTTTAAATACAAGCATGTGTTTATGTGCTTTAGCTGTGATCTCTGGGTTCTAGACCAAGAGGGTAGGCTTGCAGCTGACAGAACTGAATTTAGAATTGTAGAATCATTATGGTTGGAAGAGACCTTTAAGATCATCAAGTCCAACCATTAACCTAGCACTGCCAACTTACTACTAAACCATATCCCTCAGCACTACACCTACCTGTCTTTTAAATACCTCCAGAGATGGTGACTCAATCACTTCCTTGGGCAGCCTGTTCCAATGTTTGATAACCCTTACTGTGAAGGAGTTTTTCCTAATATCCAAACTAAACCTCCCCTGGTGCACTTGAGGCCATTTTTCTTGTCCTATCGCCTGTTACTTGGGAAAAGAGACCTGCCTCCACCTCGCTACAACCTCCTTTCAGGTACTTATAGAGAGCAATAAGGTCTCCCCGCAGCCCCCTTTTCTCCAAGCTAAAAAACCCTAGTTCCCTCACTCGCTCCTCATAAGACTTGTGCTCTAGATGCCTCACCTGCTTCTTTGCTCTTCTCTGAACACGCTCCAGCACCTCAATGTCTTTCTTGTAGTGAGGGGCCCAAAACTGAATACAGTAGTCGAGGTGCAGCCTCACCAGTGCTGAGTACAGGGGGACGATCACTTCTCTAGCCCTGCTGGCCACACCATTTCTTATAAATGCCAGGATGCTATTGGCCTTCTTGGCCACCTGGGCACACTGCTGGCTCATATTCAGCTGGCTGTTGACCAACACCCCCAGGTCCTTTTCTGCTGGGCAGCTTTCCAGCCACTCTTCCCCCAAGCCTGTAGCACTGCGTGGGGTTGTTGTGACCCATGTGCAGGGCCCGGCACTTGGCCTTGTTGAACCTCATACCATTGGCCTCGGCCCATCGGTCCAGCCTGTCCAGATCTCTCTGTAGAGCCATCCTACCCTCAAGAAGATCAACACACTTGCCCAACTCAGTGTTGTCTGCAAACTTACTGAGGGTGCTCTCAATCCCTTCATCCAGGTCATTGATAAAAATAGTAAACAGAACTGGCCCCAATACTGAGCCCAAGGGAACACCACTTGTGACCGGCCACCAACTGGATTTAACTCCATTCACCGCAACTCTCTGGGCCTGGCCATCCAGCTAGTTTTTTACCCAGTGAAGAGTATGCCCATTCAAGCCATGCGCAGACAGGTTCTCCAGGATAATGTTGTGGGAAACAGTGTCAAAGGCTTTACGGAAGTCTGGGTAAACAATATTCATAACCTTTCCCTCATCCACTAAACGGGTCACCTTATCATAGAAGGAGATCGGGTTGGTCAAGCAAGACCTGCCTTTCATAAACCCATGCTGACTGTGCCTGATCGCTTGCTTGTCCTGTATGAGCCACATGATGACACTTAAGATGATCTACTCCACAATCTACCCCAGCATTAAGGTCAGACTGACAGGCCTGTAGTTCCCTGGATCCTCCTTCCAGCCCTTCTTGTAGATGGACATCACATTTGCTATCTTCCAGTCCGCTGGGACCTCCTTGGTTAGCCAGGACTGCTGATAAATGATGTAAAGTGGCTTGGTGAGTGCTTCCACCAGGTGCCTCAGTATCATTGGGTAGATCCCATCCAGCCCCATAGACTTGTGTGTATCTAAGTGGTGTAGCTGCTTGCTAATCATTTCCCCTTAGATCATGGGGTGTTCATTCTGCTCCCCATCCCTGTCATCCAGCTCAGAATTTAAAGTAGTAAAGAGTAGGGTGAACATGAGAGAAAGCTGAATTTGGCAGGGTTGTGCCTCTAACTTCAGATGCAGCTGGAATATGTCAGAAAATATGACCTATGAAAGAAAGCTGAAAAGGAATGAGGCTTAGTATTCCAAAGAAGACTGGACTGAGTGGAGGCATAAATCCAAATGTAAAAAGGGATGGGAATATCTCATTCTCCAAATCAGTGATGGATAAAAGACGAAACAATGATTGAAATGGAAGGGGGATTTAGATTAAGTATTAGAAATAGCAGGCCTCTGGGATGGTTATTTACACCTTTTTCCAGTCAAAGTACCTAAAGATAATTTCTTATTCCAAGAAATATTTTCCTTTCAGACACTGTGTTAGACTCACGTCCCAACCAGCTGATGCAAAATCCTGATCAACTGGGCATGATAGACGCTGGATTTTTCATCAATACCAGCAGTCCACCACTTTTAAGGCCACAGAGGGAAGTGGATGTCATCATATATTTAAGTTATACTACTGGATCACATACATCGGTGAGGAGGATCTTGTTACCGTGTGCTGTCTCTCCTTTTGCTTGTAAATGTCTAGCCTGTAGTACATAGAACTGCTAGTTATTTCAGCTGTTCAGTTTTTAACTACTGCATTCCGCTACATTTTTCACTACAATGATTAATATTGTTCCCATTGCATCCTGCCGTTCCTGGAATCTCTCTTGCTGGTTTATGAACAAGTTGAATTATTCAAGGGGACATCAGCACAGTCTCTCCCAGAACTATGGGAAGAGCCTCATCTGCTTTATGCTGACTCAAGCGGGTTTCCAGACCCTGCACAGGAATATGCATAAAGATGAGGAAGCAATTTCTCCTGACTTCAGTTCGAATACAAAAGGGATCAAGTGGACAGTCAGGGGCAGATCATTTCTGGGCTGAAAAATAAGATGTTACTAGGAAAATTCAATGACAAGCATCTTCCTGCAGAAACTCCAGTTTCATGGACTTAAAGTTAATTAGCTGTCTATAAGGCCTTGCAAAAAAGAAGTTTGGGTCTTTATATCACAGAGACTGAGGTTATTAGAAACTTGGTATTAATCACCTTGGCCTGCTTAAGTGGAATTATTTTTTGTGAATGAGAACAGCGGTGCTATGGTCAGTAAGTCCTATGATGCGTAAGACATACATGTAATGAAGTTTCATTTCAGCCTCATACACTCTCTAGATTAATTTTATGAAGAAAGGCTGCTGCAGTTGTAAGCAATTTAGTAGAAACTGTTTCCTGTTTGATAGAGTCCACTATTTGATGGTGCAGAGTCAATAACACAATACACAGTAGGACGTGATATTGTATTAAACATTTCAGGGAAAAGGTACAGTATAGCCTAGTACTTCAGATTTTCTCAGTAAAATATCAATCTCAATTAACACTGTGCCATAATGCCTGCACAGGCAGAGACATAATAGCTAATTCAAACTTCACTGTCTTATGTGCTGACTTCCAAGCACTGAATAAGGTACCTTAAACATTATCTTGCTGTGGTTTTCTTTTCTAATTAATTCTATATATTAAACACAGGCTCTTTCATTTACTAAAACTACATGCTTTACACTAAACTTCTGCAAATTGCTTCCATTTTTTAAAAAGCAGTGTTCTGCATGAATTCTCTAACTGTCAAATTGTATTTACAGCTTGTGATTAGTATTCTGGTTACTATGTATGGTAATTGTGTGTAGAGTAACCCTTGATGATAAGAAGGAACCCACCCTATGGATTTGAGGCACTAAACCTTAATACTAGATAACAATTTGGGGGCTTTAAGACAACCAAGTTGAATTCCAATTTTGACCATCTCTGTGATACTCCAGTCTCTAGATAAGGCATGCAAATACTACTCAGAACAGAACATCCCATTCCCCAAAGTTTCTTTGACTGATGAAGATAAGAAAAATCTGAAGGAGTGCTACGTCTTCCAAGATTCAGATTCGCCTGGATGTCCGATCGTGATTTTTCTTCCCCTTGTGAATGATACCTTCCGAGAGTACAAAGCACCCGGTAAGTTACAAGTAGTGGCAAAGCACTAATCAAAAGACACTACTACCCACCTCCCTGACTCAGATGGAGCCTTCTTTTCTGCTTCTGGCTGTCTTTGCTGGCTGGGATCATGGGGGAGCACTTTAGGTAATTAAACCTGCTTTTCTCATCCCTGCCAAAGCTGGTGTGTTCATTCATGCCGTCTTTGTGGCCCTAAGAGGATAGATACAGCCTTCATCTTTTGGATGGTGGTTACCTTCATCTCTTTCCCATTTGTAACATAAAGTGTGGCTAGCTAATTGTAAAAGGTGTTTTGTTTTTTTTTTCCCTACATATATTGCCGGTTGTCCAGGGATTTCATTCTACGCTTGAGGAGGCATAGTGTCACGTATGAATGATGGGGGAGCAAGAGCCTGGCTTTCAGGTTGAACTCCTTCAATGTGAAGACCAGTATGTCTCCTTTTGGTACAGCATCAGCCCAGGGGTCATTTTGCTCGTTGTGCTGTGCTCGGGGCCTGTCATTCCTTCTCTGCCAGCCCACCTGCTTTGTATTCCTCTCCTTTACTGCCAGTTACTAGGATGCATTTTCTTTGATCCTTGGTAGCAGGGAGGTAAAGTCTAAAATTCTGCTTTTGTGGAATTTGGGAGACACAAGAAATGGAAAGGCAAAGATGGATCCTGGTGGCAGGCCCTCTGAGACTGCGTTCATGACTGCAGGAACTTTAAGTTTCTGTGTGTTTCTATTACTCCTTTCTCACTTAAATTCTATTCTGTCACTAACAACTCCCCTCCTTCAGCCAGGGCTTGTAGAGGTCCCGACTGCTCAGGATAAGACCTACAGTGCACCAGCAGTGGCTATTGGAGTGTCCTTTCGGGCTGATGTCCTTGATTGATCCATGGATTTAATGAAACAGATGTTTATGAGTAAGCTGTAGATGATCGTTACAGTGCTGTCCCTCACTTCTCCCTTCTGCCCTCGTCTTGACTAGGAGTGGGGATACATGACCTGTGTTATTCGTCCCTTTAACCCTATGAGTTTTCTTCTGTAGAAAAGTACCCCTTTTTGGGCTGCTGTGGACAGCTTGTCACTGACTGAGATAAACACTGCACCACAGCAGCAACTTCTCTTTCTCTCCAGGTGTCAAGCGCTGTTGCTCAGAGATGGAGGGAGGACAACTCGATTTGACCAGTCGTTTTTCCCCCTACTGCATGTTCTCGGTCAGGTATACCGACGAGAATTACCGCCGGCTGCTGAACCTCCGTGAATACAACGTGCTCAACAACTCACAGATGATTATGCAGGCCTTGCAGACAGCGATGCAAAGGAGAATGCAAAACATGTGCTAATCACCTGTCCAATTGCCCCTATCTTCTCAGAGGAGTTTTTCACGCTCTAGGACACAGAAGGGACTTAGGTTTTTGAACACTGGTCGTTCTGCACTACAGGAAGGAACTACCCCAGGTGGCTCAGTGTTTTGTTGGGGGTTTTTCCATTCCCAAGAAGTGGCCTCTATAGGCAAAGACATTGCCTGGGAAGTTTTTACATGTGCTTTGTTCTGTAAATTAAGGTTGTCTGTAGAACACTCTTTACCTAAAATCCTTGTTAGATTTTAAAAATACTGTTATTTCAAGCCTAACTTATTATAATGTGTGACATATAGGAAAACCATTTTTTACCGTGACAGTGCTACAGTAATACAACCCAGTCAACACACCTACAGGCCATAGGGGGTATTAACTTCTGCTCCCCACAGTTCTTCTTCGTGGAACACAAGGTGCATCCAACCCTGGAAAATGAAGAAAACCTGAGACGTGACTGGAAGCTGCCATTGGATCGCTAGGTCAACTCTATTTTGCAAGTGTCCTGAAGAGCAGCTGAAGAAGTTGGAAATGTAATAGCAACAAGAGTGTGCACACAGCAAGCCCTGTGAATCATGTCCGCCTCCTGGGCTCTCTTGGGCTGTAAATGAATCATACATAGATAGGAAAGAGCAACTTAGGAGGAAGTCATGTAAGATTTTTCATGTAAGATTTTTTTTTCCAGCGAAAGGTATAATTTGGGCACATCAAAATTCTCTTTGAATTTATGTCAGTTTGAACTGTTTTGCATTGAGGCAATGTATATGAAGTCAACATTTTATTTTGAAACTTTCAAAATAAAACATCCTGGGATTTTTTTTCCCAGTTGAGTTACTTTTCATATTAAACTTCCTTTCCTAAATTAAAAAGAAAAAGTGCTTGAAATGAAAATATTTTACTTCCACTAGACAATGAAAACTTTGTTGTTTTACTCAATTCGATTTGTTTAAACAGTTTAGGACATATGCTTACCAATAAAAATTCTTATTTGTTTAGTTCTGCCTGTTCAAACTGTGCAGATAAGCAGGTGTGATTCAGTAGTCTGCAACAACTAAGACCATCTTAAAATGATCTGAACAGACCCTCCATGGGATCTTGCACAAAACTACCAATTACATTTGTTGTGGATTTACATTTTTAAACTTTCTTCATTTTCTCTTTTATGGCAAGCATCCTTCATGAACTTTTGAAAGTGCTGAGAGTGAGCTGTAAAAATTATAAATGCATAACAACCTTTGCATTCCAGGAGCAAGTCAAATTGAAAATACGCTTTTTCATTAAAAAGTTTTGTTTCCTAATGACAACTGGGAGAATTTTGAACAAAGAGTCTATTCAGTGAAAAAAAAAGATCTATCAACTAGATGTTATAATCTGGGGCTAAAATAAACTAGGGAAAATGCTTGGGTAAGTTGAAACATTTCATGTTAATATTTTACAAAACATCTTTGTTTTGAAACATAGCTTCTTTTTAATAGACCGCCTACCTCGTCAGCCCAGGGAACCCAACCTGAAAATAACAGGTTTCATTTACAGTTGAATAACATGTTTGGCTTAGTGAAAAAATGACACTCAGAGGATATTCATTTTGGCAAGAAACAATTACAAATTGTCTTTACAAATTGGTTCACAATGACTTTTGCCAACGCTTTTGTCATTTATGAAGTCAACCCAAACCTTACTTTTTTGTGCAACTGTAGCCTAATGTTGCAAGCCTAAAGATCAGAGCATAAATATTACCATTTAAAAACTCCTTAGGTTTTGAATGAATACACACTTCTGCTGGGGTTTTTTTGTTCTACAGTAGTTTCACTAGTCATAATCAGAAATATGGTGCTATGTGGTCCGCATGCCACCCTGGGAATTGCCTCCGTTTGAACCTGAAATCCTTGGTGTGAAAAAATAGAGACAGTTTTTGGCAATAAATTCATGCCACCTCCAGCTCTGAAGAAAAGTTATATCCATGCAAATATTTCTTGTATATAATACCGGACAATAAAGGCTTGTTTGCAAAATGAAAATTATCTGCCTTGCTCCACATATTCAGGCATTTCAGTAATACGCTCCAGATTCACAGTGTGTTCCTTGTTCCAGGAAAATAAAACTGTTGTTATCTCTGCAAAGAGCATAAGAGCATACCAAATACTTGCTGCGAGCATCATGGATAAAGGAATGTCTCAGAGATGGAGTGCAGGGGTACAAAGCGAGCCACGATCCCTACCTCCTGCAAGGGCTGTCTCTGATGTGGATTGTAAATGTTACTTGTGAAAACAAGAGCTTTTTGGCCACTGGCAGTGTAGGAGTGACAGTCTCAGAGCCCCAGTCCTGGTGGACAGTCTGGTTTACAGCTTAGCCCTCCAAGGAGATGTCGTAATAAAGCACTGCCTTTAACTATGGCTGAAAGGTGCTGATGTTGCCAAGGGTTTTCTGTGACCTAATGAAAAGTGCATTTCATCAAGCTATATAATTGCAGCTGGCACATGGAGGAAACATGCCATGTATGTAGAAACAACCCTTCACAGGGTTGTGAAATAACATAGCCTACAGCAAAAATTTATTCTACCAAGTTGACCGTGGCAACTGTTGATACTATTTTGTGTGGGAATGCACAAAGGGGGAACTGTGCTGGCTGGTAACAATGTTTAACCAGTAAGCTCAAGAATGCTCAGGGAATGGGTAACCTCTTGCTCGTAGACAATATATCAGGAGAGCAGGGAAGCCAAAGGCTTCAGGCAGCAGTTTTGATCTGTTATGACCTGCTGAAGTTACAACAGTTTTTGACGGCCCTTTTTAATCCTGTTTCAGTGAGTTGGGAGCTGTACTGGTTTCAACAGCAGAGGGGCCAGCTGGGTGCTCGCAGAGGCAGGCGCGGGTGTCCTGCGGTAGCGGGTGGCTTTGCCTGTGTGCCGAGGACAGTGCACAGGGCGGTGTGTGGTCAGTGATGAGTTTTGTCTCTGGCTGGCAGGGTTCACTGGGTCAGACAGGGGTGCTTAAATGAAGCTAGATTACAGCCAGTCTGAGCTATAAAGTGGTGTAGAAGTATTCACAAGGGGTGGAGTTAAGCTGAGGAAAATCATTGCTTCAGGACTCTTCCTCTAAACAAAAATAATAATAACAAGCCATAGGGAAGAAGAAGAGAAGAATACAATGATTTGAAGAGAGATTTTGTCCTGGTGGACCAAGGCCGAGTAGATATAAACCACAATATGAGTGTGTCTACTCTGCATGCCTAGACCTGGGATTGCAGGGACGTGGTACAGAAACCCTTTAACTGGCATTTGCAAGAACCAGTTTAGTCTGAGAGCAATATTGTCCCTCTTTTATTTTTTCCATTAGCTGTTGTATCCTGTCTGCTTACTATCACAGATAACCTAAATACAATTAATGTACCTTTGCTGCATCTTATTTCAGGGTACGTATTTCTGTAGGCTTTGAGGTCTTGCTAAGTGGAAACTTCAGTGCTCAGATAAAAGGCCATCCTTTTCTTACCATTAGTCATAGACCTGCCATTGGCCAGTATTGGGCAAAGTGACTCAAACAGTATACTTCCACCTTCTGTGCAGTCAAAGGTATTTTTTTCCCTACTTATTCGATCACAGGATCCCTTTTCCTAGTATAAGAAAATGGGAGGGGAATAACTGGGTTTAAGAAATCAGGCAGAGGTGGGGCTCTGAGTCAGTTTATAAAATAGTTGCTCACCTGCATATGAGACATTTAAACTGTCGGTGTCTGTGGAAGCTGGGAGATGTGAAATTGCATTGCCACAGATAACAGTGGATGTGTACATGACAGCGACCACAATGGAGCAAGACGGCGTTTTGTCTCAGGTAAGAAGGGTGCAGAGCAAAGCAAGGCGTCTGGGATCTCAGCCGGTTATGCTGCACATAGTGCAAAGACAGCATTACTTTCTTGTCCTACCATTGACTATAAATGAGTCTGCTCAGGATGAAGAAAGTCAGTGCTTCAAAAGCTTATTATTGAAATTTAATAAAGGTAGCAAGCCGTAGGAAGGACGTGAAAACTACTTGGGGAATAAGAGTTTGTTTACAAAGGGAGTATTTTGTACCTTTGGGGGTTTTCTTCATTTTAGAGACATGATATATGCAACCTTAGAATAAGTATTAAATAGCATGGAGATGTGCTTCAAGGTGAAAGATTAATGACAGGGTACGTTTACGGGAGCCAGATTTGCTGTGCCTTTAACAGCCAGGGCCAGGAGCTGCCTTCCCTCCCCGTGTGTCACGCAAAGGGTGGACCTTACCTGGCTGCTAACGCCTCTGCTCAGGCTTGCTGGGGCGAGCATGGAGCAGGCAGGGGCGCTGGACGCAGTGGGACACAGGTCACTGTACCTGCTGAGGTTCTGTGGCCAGCACTGACCATGGGCTCCCCTTCACTGCTGTGCTGCCGTTCTCCATTCCTGATGAGGATTGCGTTTAAGAGACAGGATGATTTGTCCAGGGGTAACATTGGCCGTTCTTTTCGCAGGAGCTGATCACTCACACCGGTGGGCTAGGAGAAGCAATTATGCGGCTGAATCCTGATGGGGAACAGCGGACTCCTCTTACAAAGGTACCACAAAGGAGGATTTCAAAAGAAAACTGTAAAAGATTTTCCTGCTGGGCGGAGCCTGGGTGAGAACAGACAGGGTTCAGCATCTGCCAAACAGTCTAATTAGCTACCATAACCCATCCAGCTCCCTCCGTGAAACACCATCCCGCTTATCATTTTGATTGCTTCACTTACGCAGTCTTGCTTCATGTTAAAGTCCTAGTGCTGTTTTCTATCCTCGGCACAAGGGAAATGAACGACATTTTAATAAGAGTAATAACTTTAAAAGGATGAGTTTGAATAGGCTTTCTGTTACATACATCTTGCTAAAGGACAAGGGCAAATTTCCTGCCAGTGTAGGTGGTAATAGCTACGAAATTGTGCCACTTACTCCCACAAAGAGTATGGGACAATCCTGAGTGGATTTTCAACACCGGAGTTCC